TTTTAATAAACTGAACTGAACTGAACTGAACTGAACCAGTGACGTTATAGTCTTCTTTTTTTCACCCTACGTTATCATCAGCAGTCAATAAACCGACGGCTGTAACATGATGTTTCTTCGAATAGTAGTAGTTCTGTCATCTTCGGGATATAAAAACAATTGTACCTCATTATGATAACAGTGAATGAAGCAAACGAGAGAAAATAGAAGAGTTGTTCAAAAAGCATAATTCGAGCGACAAAATAATGGGAACTTGAACTTTATGACATGTAAACAACAGCACAGCAGTAACTCGCAATATAGCACTGTATTTCCATCAGGCATCAGTGAACTATTATAATAAAGTATTGTATGTGTATATTCCTCATATATCTGGCATAGATGACTTTGTCGTTCATACGATTTTGGTTGCAGTGAATTCTCGTACGTTTTCACGTGAATATGAGCCTTTTGAAATATATTATATAGCTGTATCCATATTTGATCCAGAGTGAACATCGGCTGCATGTATCATTGAAACTATGGCTATGATCTTGACTGTCTTGGGGTATGTTGCCCTTCTAATCTGCGTTATATTAGGACTGACCATTGCTGTATTATCTGCAGCCATTCTCCGTACTGAATACGTGCTCAAGGATGTACCCACTCCAAAAAATAAGAGGTACGTATATGTTTACATAATTATACTGTTTATATCTATCGTATTTTGCTGCCATGGCTGTCAATTAGCGTTATCGGTATATGGTACGTGCAAAAAGAAATATATACATACGATGTATCGTGTAAACATGTACGATATATGGTGATATATTTTCAGTTTGGGACATTAAGATAGTTTTATACAGTAACCATAATAATAATGACTACATAGAGATTGGGTCCAACCTGATTATATTATCTCGTTCTTTTCTACAGCCATGCATGTTATCCTTCTTTTTTTTCAATGACAATATAATAATAAAAATAATGCTAATAAAAATATCAAAAATAATTTGATTTCTTTTTCAGGAGAGTATACAGGGTACTGTTCCTTAGTTTATCACAAAAATTAAGAAGAATTGTAGATGTCACCAGAATAATGCTAATTCGTTAGGACATATTCAGGTTAATAATTTATTCATTGCATATTTTGGTTTGTATTTTAGAGATATGGACGCAGGCTTTAAAGATATAGATATGGGATTAAACACACACCCACACACACACCCACACACGCACACACGCATTTATATATATGTATATATATATATATATATATATACATTTTCGTGTATGTGGGCGTGCGTGTGTGGGTGTTGCGCGCGTATGTATGTGCGTGTGTTTGTGAAATTTTGGCTACATTCATTGTTATATACCTCATACATAGATTGTCATTCACTGATTGGTCAAAACTATATCACATGACAAGGAGCATTTCGATCTATCATTGCGTCAGAGGGTTTGATAGGCCTACTATCAAACCCTGTGATAGAACTCCTAACCCCTCCGCGACTTTTGCACACAGAGCGTACAAGATTTCAAATGCGCGCTCAATCCATGCAATTAAGGCTGGGCCGCACTGAGTAGCTGTATTGCCTTACTTGGATATCTTTTAGCCTTATTTGAAACTGTTTTGAGCTTCAAAAGACTGTAAATATATTACTGTGAGGAGCATAGAGACTCTTGTTATTGGATTTCTTTTCTAGACCTATTCATAAATCAATGAAAAGGATGAGGTATATAAAACAAATATGGACTGCTCTGTAATCGGATGATGGAGGAAATTATCACTCCCTCGGTTGTGTTCATGCCGGCCCTTCTATAACCTCTCGCCTTCGCCTGGGGGATGATAGAAGGGCCGGTATGAACACCACCTTGGGAGTGATAATTCCCACCATCATCCTCATGAGCAGTCAATATTTGTATAATATCCCATCTTTATTACCCATCTTTGATACCCATCTGCGTTCCAAAATTTACATTCAGTTGTAATTTTCCCAGCTGTATTTTCTAACATACAGTCATGAGACGATGTCAAGTTCAAAATCCGCTTGTTAACTATTCATTTGCCAGGAACAACATAGAAAGAAAAAAAAAAGATAGGTAGTTGCAGCAGTTGTAGTTGTAGTTGTCCCCTGTTTGTGGCTTAAACTTTTTTGTGTCTTTCTCATCCTATTTATCATTATAGTTTCTTTTTAGGAGATATAAAGACATTTGGTGTATGGAGTGAGAAGATTGGAATGTCCGTGGCAAACATCCTGTATTTGATGTAAGTGCAAGGAAACTGTTTCATTATAGTGCGTGTATCTAAGACTGTATAGGCTACATTTATTTTTAGGAGGAAGAAAAGGTCTCACGTAATGCACAACATTATTATGGTTATTGTCGCGGAAATCTACGAAACATGTACAAGAAGACCCACAAAAAAAGAACACAGAGATTTGTCAGGACTATGATGATAATATCCCTTTTCATCTCTTCTTCTTCTATCTCTCTTTCCTCACATTCTCTCTTTCTTTGTTCTTTTCTCATGCTATCCCATTCTACTCTTCCCCTATGCCTAACGATTAAAATTACACTTGTTATGACACATATCTATGTCTGTTATTTTCATTTAATATGTTAACTATTACTTAATTTTGTTTTTCTTTATGCTTGTTATTTAATTTTGTATTATATGCACGTATGTCATTTTTAATTAGTTTTTCCTATGTATTTATGATCTGTTTTATGCTTTTTACACGGACTTGCTGAAAAGCAGTCTTTTTAGGCTGATGTGAGTTTTACCGTGAATAAATAAATTCAATTCAATTCAATTCAATTAAAAAAATAAATTCAATTCAATATCTATAAATAATGACTATTATTAACACTCTCTCCACTTTATTACCATCGTAATGTTCCGTTTATTACTTGTCTCCATGACTACCGTAATGTTTAATCGAACAGAAAATCAATTGTGTGCAGAATAAAATAAAATTAAATTCGTATCGGAATTTTTGTTTTAGTTGTTGGATTACGTGAATTTGTAAATGGCGTCGGAAAAAAAAAATTCCTTCATGAAATACAAATGATCTGATATAGAAGCTGCATGCCTCAAACCAGCTTTCGATAGTTGCTCTTTCGTTTGTGAGATTTTTTTTTTTTTTTGGAATTATTTCAACCCCCTTCTTTTTTCAGGAACTATGCTATGAAATATACAACACTTGATTAAACTGAATAGAAGAATAAAGAAATCAAATACTTCATTACAATAATTTCTCAGGACAAAGGACCTTGGACCGGTGTATTATGTGAGGGTCTTCTGGAAAGCACATTTCTTCGCATCAGCACCTGAAATTGTCAAGGTGAATTTCCATTTGACGTCTAATGCTATTTTTTCTAACATAATACGTACGTATTGTGGCTATTTAGTGGTGAAGCCGGAAGGGGATGCGCCCCAATCGAATGACGAAAAAGAAGAAAAAGGAGAGAAGAGAGAGAAACACAGAAAAGGAAAGGGTTAAAACGACGTCAAGAGAAAATATTAAATGACCCCTCAAACAACGCTCCCCTCCCCACCACATATGGCCTTGTACTTGCGTTTCATACACTTGATTCTCCTGTGAAACCCCCTCCCAGCCCTTATGACGCTATAATGGCTAATTTAACGATACGCCACTGATAGTTGTACTATGATCATGTCACGATATCAGTTACGATAACAGTGCAGGAAATCATTATCTGGGCAGTTTATCTTTATGCTCGTAGTTTGCCTATTACAAGTACCTACGTGAATTGATACATGGACGATTGATCATGATCAGTCGTTCTTTTAATACATTAGGGACTTTTAGATTTGCACAACGACAACGTGGATTGCTACGATCGACGTCCTTTTAATGTACTGCCTTGAAAGGACGTCACACGTATCAGTCCACGCAAATCTAAAACTCCCTATTGTCTTTTGAAACCAAGCGGTCCCTGTATGCAACCTTTTAAAATATCAGAACTTAGTAGTCAGTGGGACAATATAATTTTTGGAAGTTAGGAAACTGATTAAAAAACTCATCTCGTCATAATTTTGACAATTTTCTGTAAAGTGACACTTCCTGTTAACGAACGCTTACAGAACAAATACACACTCCTACGTATACTTAAATGGTGTTGAAAGGTCATCGACATCTCACCTCGTTCACAAAGAGCAGAATTTTGTCGCGCTTTCATCTTTATTAATACTACGTATTACAATGAAACGTTCCCTACATTTAAAAAAAATGCTATCATTTGCAGGAGCTGCTTCTAAACAGCCGCCATATCAAATCACAAGAAGAATACCATAGCTTTCAGAAGCTGTACGGCGAACGATTTATGGGCCACGGACTCGTATCTGAGGTCGATCATGAGAAGTGGTTTCACAAGAGAGCCATCATGAACCCTGCATTCAGACGAAAGTAAGAACTATTAAGGCTTGTTTAGATATAGCGCGGTATACTGCCGCAAAAAAAGCCGCAGCCGTTTAAGTGAATGGCAATTACACTTTACGTCATCAAGAAAAAACACCGCTGTTTTGCGTCCTGTCTGAAAGGTTGATTTCATTGCCATTATTCTAAGTTGCACAAACAACTCATTTTCGTCATCCCAAAGGATAAGTTTTTAGGATTTTTATTATCATTTAACTACGTTTTTCATTCGTTTGATTTGACACGATAGGGTTCTGCTCGATAGGGTGCGTGAACCTCATTGCTAGGAGACTCATTACTCCCCCAATAAATCTAGCCTATAAATTATAAGTTAAAGCAAGGCACCAAAAAGCTCCCCAAATCCCCCCTAAAAAAATTGTTAGAACCGTACCTGCATGGTTATGGTGTTATAAATGACCAAATAATGTAAGCAATTCACAATGATGCAACTGCCATGATTATTATATAATTTGCAGGCTGTTGAAGTAACAATGCATATCGACTCTACATAGTTGTTAATAACTAACTCGAGAAAGAACATAATCATTTTGAATCTGATCATTAAATTCCTAGGTATCTAATCAGCCTTATGGAAGAATACAACTCTGGATCAGAAGCTCTTTGTCAGAAGCTCAAGGAGAAAGCCGATGGTAAAATAGAAGTCCCCATGTTAGACGAACTCAACAAAGTGACACTGGACGTCATTGCAAAGGTACCGGAGTGCATGCGTGGGGATGGGGAAGGAGGTCTTTCTTCAATTGGGAGAGCGAAATGGATCATATGGATAGAAATATTACTGACGCACTACAAAGAAATATTTTTTCCGTACAGATTTTAATTTGTTATCACCCTGGAGCAGCAATTAATTGAAAGTGAAAAATAAGATCGTGGGCTTGAAGCTAATGAACCAATTCTTGCCGAGAAACAAGTTTTATATTGTACCTTCTCACCTCCTAAATAATTATTTGTTATATTTGCGCCTTTGATGTTAAAAAAAAAAACAAAAAACACCACGGCTTCAAAGAGATGGGCATTTGTTTTCCTTTACAGATCGCATTCAGCATGGATACTAATGCTATAGGAGATCCAGACTGTCCATTCCCCGCTGCCATCACCGCTGCACTCCAAGGTTTACAGTCGTTACACGAAAGGCCATGGTCTACTGTGAGTACACTTAACTTAACTTTCTAATTCTTTCAGGATCATAGGAACTATTTTTCAGTATGCTATTGTGTTTTTATTACATTTTTGGGTGTTTCTACACTTCAAAGGATTATCAACAAGCCATCTCATGGCCCATTTCTAATATTTACAAAGTGCACAAAGAATCCAAATTGATCACAAGGTATATGCAAATCGTCCGCATGATACAAACCAACACTATTTTCACATTATAATGACATTGAGATAACTTTAACACACAATGACTCTTTATGTAAGGACAAAGAGAGCTACAGAAGTCTAACCATCTATGTTTTTAATATCGACCTCTTACGTCTCACAGGTACTAGGTCCCCATGAATCTGTCCTACCTGAAGAGGAGGTATCGCCATATATTGATCAAGCGTTCATAATGTGACTAGCAAAAGATTGATAGCATCGTCGACATCCAAACTATTTTATTTATATATAACATGTTCTGTGGGTTCTACCAACCTTAGAATTTAAAAGGCAAGTTTTCGTCCACTTCTGTGGACTTTCATAAGCCACGTGATTCTTCACACACACTTGTGTTATCTATGATCTTAATAGATGGATCCACGGTGCATTTCCATGCGAAGGTCCACACGCAAGGCCATTCACCTCATCCGAGAAACAGGAAGAGATCAGATCATGAAACGGATCCAGGCTCGTAAGAGAGGAGATCATGTTCCAAGTGATCTACTCAACCTCATCCTCGATATAGCCAACGATCTAGAGGGCGATAAGGACTTCGAAATGGAAAATATGCTGGATGAATTCGTTACTCTGTTTATAGCAGGTACGTAAGTCAACTGCCTACGGGAATCTGTTTCTGGTTGTATCTTAGGTGGTTCCTGGTTTTAGCAAACGTGGATGCGGCAATTTAGTTGTCAAAGGGTTGATATTCGTAATTTTTCGTATCAAGCAAATCTGATTATGAACGCGTTTTGGGACGGACCTCTAATTCTAACTGGGATCCGTCAGAATGTGTTTGTAGGCGACGCTGGAGACTAGAGAAGACTAAATCACAGCCGGTTCACCAAAGCCGTGTACGAGCCTAAGTTAATTTTCTTATATGTGACGTAACAATGCAGAAAGACTTGTTCAGAATTACTGACTTAGATTACTTTTGGTAATCATCATTTCCCAAGTCTTTCATACATTTGTCATGGATGTTATCAAAGGTCCCCATAATTAACTCTCATGATACGTGCATAAACATTCTATCCTTTGCTAGCTGACATGAGAGCAAGAATATTTAGACCTACTACGTTACTTTACTTTGGTAGCATGCAAGTAGGCCTACTAATCTTTACTTTTGACGCTGGATCATACAAAGGCGTTAGAATTCATGATCCAAATGACTTTATTTTTTATATACCTCTGCCATTAGGGATCCCGCTGACGTGAATTTCATTATTTACTTATATAAAAACCTACAATTTGATTATTCTGCTGTCCAAAAAATGTGTTGATGTGATTTAAATAGCTATAATCGTTTCATAATTTAGAGTATTGCTTCATCCTTTTGGTATTTCAGGTCAAGAAACAACGAGCAATCTGTTGGCCTTCACAATCCTACAACTTGGCCGTCACCCTGATGTTGCTAAGAAGTAATTATATCTCTATAAGCAACTTCATAAAGCACGCATAAAGTACAATCAATGTTTAAACATTTCCTTAAAAGAATTTGTGCTTGAAACAATACGTTCGTCGTGTCACACGTAAACATGAGCAGATGTCTGAATGAAAAGGTTTATTGTTTACGGCACGGTGTCACGAAAGACTTGAAATACTGGATTAAACGTCGTCTGTATTTTTACTAGATTAACTGTAATTAAAATGAAATTAAACATCTTATTCCGTTAACAAGGTTGGTATGATCTTACCTTATCTTATATCATGATCTTTGTTTAATACTAGGCTTCAAGCTGAGATTGATGAAGTACTGGGACAAAAACACAAAATTCAATATGAAGATCTGGCCAAACTGGAATACATGATGAGGGTAAGAATTAATTATTCAAGCCAAAATTGTGATATTTGATATTGATATGGTATTTGGTATAGAATTCGGTATTTTCAGCTGTTTTTAGTATATCCCTCTAATTGTATAAAGTTTGAATGTAACTGCTGTCTTTCTTTCTTTCTTTGATTAATAAAAAAAGGGTTCCCACAGGTTTTATCAATGAAAGATGAGTAGTGCTACAATTTATCACTAATGAAGAATAACTGTAAGCTGCTAGCTAAGGTTTTAAGAATAGCTTTTAAAATAAGAAATAATTATTGAATCTTTTCTTCTTGCACTCATCAGTATAAAGCAAAGAATCAATGCCTGTATTCAAGATATTCCTTGATTTGGTAGTAATATCATCACTTTTGTAGTATAATCATCACTTTAGTTCGTGCTTTGGTTTAATAAATTTATTTCAAATGTTTTGTTAGACAAAGGAAAGAAAATTATTGTCGTTAACACGTTTGTTGCTGTTTAAGTATCTTTAAGCGTTTTTAGGTAATGTTTCTGATTTTGTAGTAATATCATCACTTTTGTTGTATAATCATCACTTTACTTCGTGCTTTGGTTTAATAATGGTATGTAAAAATATTTAAATTGAATTGAATTTTTTTAATTGACATTGAATTTGAAAGACAAAGGAAAGAAGGAAAAAAAATCGTTAACACATTTGTTGCCCTTTAAGTATCTTTAAGTATTTTAAAGTATTTTTTCTGAATTTGTCAGGTCTTGAAGGAAACGTTGAGGTTGTATTCACCGGTCGGAGGTACAACCCGCCTAACTGCTCATTCTATCAACTATAACGGCATCACAATACCAGCCAAGTGCTCTGTAACCGTACGTATCTCCAACCGATTCCTAGGATTTCCTCTCTCTCTCTCTCTCTCTATCTTTAAAGAGAAGGTTGAGTTCTGGGAACTCGAGGTGAAAAATAATTTGTGAGCGTTACTCATTCTTATTATGCAAGTGTGGAAAAACATCAGATAAGACATATTCCCTGAAAAGCATGGCACTTCAAATGCCTTCATATTCTAAATATGCATGCAACATCGTAAAAATCGGGGGGGGGGGGAGGCTTTTTACGCCGCGTGTTCGTGTAGTCCCAGATACATCTTTCTGTCTACAGTGTTTGTAACTTTACAAAGACTTGGCCAAATTTCTTATCATTTTGATGATTCCAGAACCTTGCAATACACACAAATTCTTATATGCTAGATGATCAACCTTTTCTGGTCGGTTCAACACCGTTTCTTTCACAATGCAATCGCATGACCAGAACTCAACTTCATCTGTAAGGCTCAGGTATATTTTTTCAGGGAAGATGGACATTTATGTTTTTACTTTTTGAAAGATCAAATTGGAAAGGTAATCGCAAGGTAAATCACTCAGTTGCCAATTTGTGTTTGAATGATCACATCTTTACAACTTTCTGACTTCTTCGCCATGATCAGACTTTCATTTTACCGTTTCTCTCACGTTGATGCTTTTATTTAAGCTTGATTGACTGCAAGTTTTCTTATATCTATGATTATCATAAATATTTAATTTCGTTATCTATCTATCTATCAGGCTATATAGTTCATCCAGACGTTGGACAAAGCCCTCCTCATAACATTTCCATTCTCTTCTGTCTCTAGCTATCCTAGTGCAAGCGGCCGTTCCCATGTATGATGTTGGGTCATCTCTCCACCCTCCTCTTCTTCTCTTTCCCATCCTTGCTTGCCATTCTGTTAAACGATTTGTCCCTCTATTGTCCTGAAGTCTTGCTACATGCCCAGTCCATCTCCACTTTGATTCTCTGACTTTCTCCATGATGTCTTCAACCTTTGATTTCTGGCGTATGACTTTGTGATTGATTTTGTCTCGCAGAGATAAATGCGACATCTTTATCTCCATAGCTCGTTGAGTAGTCACAAGCTTCTTTTCTAGATCCTTTGTCAATGACCATGTTTCTGTCCATACTATGTGTTATGCGCTATACAAGAACGATTAATTATTATTATTATTATTATATAGTTGTTAGAATGCATTGGTTGAACATTCTTCTTCTTAGTGACATGGGTATGTTTTTATTGATCAACATGTCTTTGTATCTTCCAAAGTTCATCCATCCTGATTTTACTCTCATCATAACTTATTCTTTTGCCATTTTTGTATATATTATAATATTGTTTTTATGCTTAAGAAAAATTAATAAACTGAACTGAACTGAACTGAACTGAACTTTTGTGGTGTCTTCCATTTTCAAAGTTTGTCCCAGATAACTGCTCACTCTCTCTAACGTTCGACCTTCTATCTCGATTTTATCATCTGTGTCATAGTTAGTCATATATTTAGTTTTATCTTTGTGCATAGTTACGCCAATGAGTTTGCTCTCTCTGTTGAGATCTGTCAGCTGGTATTCCAAGTCTTTGATTGATGTTGAGATCAAGGCCACATCAACTTCATTATATTGTTATGTAAATATTACGAAACAATCATGTAGAGACCGTTCGAAGTAGCATTTCGTTGGAGTGGTTTAGTTATGTGTGAAAAACTGAGGCCGCATTAACAATGTATCCACTTATTTCGTTGACACTGTAACTTTGGCAATCATGTCCTATTGTCCTTTAAGACCTACCCAAGTCACATTAATGAAACCGACGCCAGACTCACAACAGACCGAGGAAAAAAAGCATTGCATTAGCCCCAATGGATAAGACTCGTGCGCCGTGGCTGGGGTACTGCTTTTACTGCATTCGAACCCTCTCGCATAGACAACTCTCAAAAAACTATCATTCAGTGAGGAGTTGAATGCGGGACCATGAACGTGTCGGCCTGGAGGTAATATCCTTTTATAATGTTGTTCACCTCCAGGTTATGTCTTACGTCACGTCTAGAATGGAGGAATATTTTGATGACCCTCTGCTCTTCAATCCTGATCGTTTCAAGCCTTCCGAGGACGGATCATTGTAAGTCATAATTTGTTTATACAATGGAAGCTTCTCTCCTTCCAATATACTTCAAAGCCTAACAATTTGAGTAAGATTATTTCTTTCATGCATACATTTTCACTTTTATTTCAAATTATTGTTTATCATTACTACACACTGGTGAATATTCCAGAAAATATATATGCCACAGAGAAATAAGCCTGTTTACAAATTTAATTTCTACAACCTAGATCGTCTGTTAATATCTTACTTTTTATCGTAGAATAATTAAAGATGTTGTTGATACCTGTATTAAACTATTGTCATCTTCCCAATTACTACCAGGCCTAGACATCTATATGCATACTTTCCGTTCTCTATGGGGCAACGATCTTGTATTGGTCAACAGTTTGCACTGGTAAGTGTGTCCAACATCTTTGCTCTTAGTTGGTAACCCCCCCCCCCCCCCACTCCGGGGTCGGAATGACCGCATGCGTGTTACTAAAATGTCCGGTGAAGGGGTACTTTTCACGCACCAAAGTCCGGCTCGTACATACACAAAATTGACTTTACACACCGGACTTAGGGGGGTGTTTTCAATAGGAGGGAACACGCATATGCGTACCCTAAATAACACTGAGTGGGAGGGGGGGGGGGCGGGGTTGGTATTTTTGGGGCAGGAAACCTTTAGCAAAGAGGTTATAACAAATTGTCGAATGGTCGCGAAAAAGAAAGGAGGATGGAAAAATGAGGAATACGAATGGATCCACGTCATAAAATAATGTCAGATAGCAAAAGTCTAAGTTTTCTTGCAAAAGAGAGAAATAATCCGAAATGGCATTGCTTTTAATTTCCTTTAGATGATTATGCTATATGCCATCGTTTTCCCTAAATGTATGATTGAGTCACAACTGTTGCGTCAAGATCATCATGAACCATCATGTACTAGCTGTTGCAGCTACATACAGTTCACATACTGAAAATTACTACTTTGTACACGACTTTCTCTAGCCATAATTATGTGGACATTAAAAAGAAGAAAACAAAATCCGGGATTCCGTCTAAATATCTTATGCCGATTTCCATCTACTCCCCAGATCGAGGCTCGTGTCATCTTAGCTAAGCTTCTCCAACGATTCGAATTTAGACTAGAGCAATCGCAGAGTATGGGTATCCTGGACGAACTAACGGCCAAGCCAATGGGGAGATGCAGGAACTACGTCACACTAAGAGCCTAGGCTCACAGCCATTTAAGCCAGCTGCCATCACACCAAGAGCCGAAACCTTCGTCAAGATAGGTCGCGGTAAACCGAGGCGATTTGATTTTAATGACGCAAGTGTCATATAGTTCCAGGCGCGGATCCAGGGGGGCGAGCGGGCCTTGCCCCCCCCCCCCAAAAAAAAAAAAGAGAGAGAGAGAGAGAGAGAGAGAAGGAAAGGAAGGGAAAGGGAAAGAAGAGAGAAAGGGAAAGAAAAAAAAAGAAAGAAGAAAGGTAGGGGGTTTCAGTTGCGATTTTTCCCGCCAACAAGGTGTAGATCGGGGGGGGGGGGGGTACTGACGTACTTATAGGGGAGGGGTGCTTTGGGAAATAAAATTCAAACGTGGTTTATTTCTAATTCCATAACGGTGGTTTACAAATAATGCTGATATGAAATAATTTTCCGAGATTTTTCCTCACCTTGTTAGTAAATTATACTTTTTTATGCGTTTGATGGAAAATGACAAATTCCTAAATTTACAGCCAGGCAAGAAATATGCTTCTTGAAATGCCTACATTTCAGGGCCCGCGGAACGGCGACCAAGCACCCTAAGGCGGGCCCCTTGATACTCATCTGACCGTAATTTATTGCCTTAAACCCTTGAGCTTTGGGGGCTCTGCCCCCCCTGAACCCCACGCCAATTAGTCACATGCCAGTGTCACAATAAGATATAAAAACATGCTCATCAGTCCGTAATTAAATGTCTAAAACCCTGAACTTCCGGGGCTCTGCCCCTGGACCCCACCAGGGCCCTAAGGAGGGCCCCTGAATGCTTATCTGACTGTAATTTATTGCATTAAACCCCTGAGCTTCCGGGTGCGGACAAGGTATCAAAATATGTTCATCTGACCGCAGGCGCGTAGCAAGGGGGGGGGGGGGCGGTGGATGCAGTCCCCCAAAACGCCGGCCAAAAAAAAAGAGAAGAGAAAAGGAAGATGACGTAGGAAAAAAGGAGCAGACAAAGAACATTTTTGAATTAAGACAAGGATTGAGAGTCGAGGATGGTACAGCGAATAGTCTTTTTTTACTGAAACGTCAAAGCTTCCGCACTTCGCGCCGGAGAGGGGGGAGGGGGGAAACTGAATTCAGACAAGGATTAATAGTCGAGAATGATAGAACGAATCGTCTTATTTGTTTAATAATTTAATGAAACTTCAAAGCTTCCGCGCTTCGCGCAGGAGGAAGGATCTGAATTCAGACAAGGATTAAGAGTCGAGAATGGTGATACGAATCGTCTTCTTTCCTTAATGATTTAATGAAACGTAAAAGCTTCCGCGCTTTGCGCGGTAGGGGGGGGGAACTGAATTCAGACAAGGATTAAGAGTCGAAAATAGTACAACGAATCGTCTTCTTTGTCTAATAATTTAATGAAACGTCAAAGCTTCCGCGCTTCGCGCAGGAGGGGGGGGGCAACTGAATTCAGACAAGGATTAAGATTCGAGGATGGTACAGCGAATAGTCTTCTTTCTCTAATAGTTTTAATGAAACGTCAAAACTTCCGCGCTTCGCGCGGGAGAGGCGGGGGGGGGGGGGGTAGGGGGGAAGGGGAAACTGAATTCAGACAAGGATTAAGAGTCGAGAATGTTACAACGAATTGTCTTATTTGTTTAATGATTTAATGAAACGTCAAAGCTTCCGCGCTTCGCGCAGGAGGGGAGAACTGAATTCAGACAAGGATTAAGAGTCGAGAATGGTGATACGAATCGTCTTCTTTCTCTAATGATTTAATGAAACGTAAAAGCTTCCGCGCTTCGCGCGGGAGGGGTGGGGGGGGGGGGAACTGAATTCAGACAAGGATTAAGAGTCGAGAATAATACAACGAATCGTCTTCTTTGTCTAATAATGTAATGAAACGTCAAAGCTTCCGCGCTTCGCGGGGGGGGGGGGGGGGGAACTGAATTCAGACACGGATTAAGAGTCGAGAATGGTACAGCGAATCGTCTTCTTTCTCTAATACATTAGTGAAACCTCAAAGCTTCTGCGCTTCGCGCGGGAGGGGGTAAAATGAATTCAGACGAGGATTATTTTCGAGAACGGTACAACGAATCGTCTTCTTTCTCTCATAATGTAATGAAACGTCAAAGCTTCCGCCCCTCCCTGCACCCACCCCCCCCCCCCTTTACGTCACTGCTAATCACCATTACGTACCAATATTTGGCTGGCATAATTTCAAATTTGGGTCCCCCCCCCCCCCCCCCTAAGAAATCCTGGATCCGCGCCTGTACAGTTATACCCCGTGCTTAGAATACAGATGTCAGTGAATCGCATGCAAGTACAATTATGTTTTATAGTTACAAACAAAGAGCTGCAACAAAGAGCTGTTTGTTGATTTGATACTCTTTATATACTTTCGTTGTTAAGAATTTATGGTAATAATTATATATAGGCTCGGTAGGAAAAACGTGCCGATATTTTAAGATTCCAAAGTACGTTATTGTTCTCCAGCACGTTATCATTAATTATTAAGTTCTTTGTATATCAACAATAGCCGTGAGTTTCTTGTGAGATTTAATTGATAACCATGTAGCAGTTCCCCCCCCCCCCCGCACTCCATGAACGGAGGGATACCATGCATGTTCCCAAAATGTCCGGTAAAGGGGTATTTTTCACGCACCAAAGTCCGGCTCGTAGTACACACAAATCCGGCCCGTATTGACTTTACACACCGGACTTGGGACACCGTACATGCTTAGAATGTTTTCCCTTTGTCCCTCATGTCTTCTCAACTTGCGTTATTCTCATGTTATATATCGATACATGTATTATATTTTAACTTGTATATGTTTGTTTTCCTTTGTATATTTTAATGAAAGTATTGAATAAAGTGAACTTGAACTTGAACTTGAGGAATGATTGTTTTTATCAACAACAAAAAAAGATTTTTGAGGAGACTGGATGAGTGGAAATTTGAAATATTTTATTCATCTTATATTCTTCAAGGTTACCGTTATGTGAAATAATGTACATATATATTAAGGATCGTTTACCAAATGGTTCCATTTAATAGCCCTTTAAAAAAGGAGTTTGTTATAAATACACGAATAGGGTAGGTGCAGGGAATTGGAGACCCTTAAGCACATTTACATAATTTACATAAACATGAAAAATGTTACACATACAGAACGTTTTGTATTCTCTTCAGTAACTTCTTCTCTTTATTTGGTAACAAAGTTGTGGGCATGATGTAACTGATTAATAAGATAACAATGATTAATGACGAAAGCACCAAAGGTCTCTCACTACCTACATGTGCAGGTAATAAGGGACATAGTTACAAATCAAGACATTTTAAATACAATTCTAATGACATTGGAATTGTTTTGGTTAGTTCAAACACTTTTTGGAAGAGATATATGCAGCCAATGAACTTATTGTAATTTTGAAATGATTTTAAAATAATGTGGCCCAAAATATTTCTGTACATGGACAATTAACCAACCAGCATCGGGTCATTGACTGTCCTCGGCATACTCGACATTCACAACAAACGACCTCCATCTCTCTCTCTCCCTCTTTCTCTCTCTTCAAACGTCTCTCCTCTTTTTCTTTTAACCTTCCCTTTTCTCTCTTGTAGCATGTACTTGTATGATGATTTTTGTTGTCTCTCCGAAATCTGACTTTCTTAATTTGCATTAATGTATTACATGTAATTAGGAATAATAATATTTATTTAATTATGATCATTCCATTCCCTGCTCTCTCTCTCTCTCTCTCTTCCTTTCTCTCTTTTTACATCCCCTTTTCTCCCATCCTCTCTCTCTACCCCATTCGCTTGATCACTCTCACTTTCATGAGCCATATACCTTCTGCTAGTATCCTTTCACGTAATGTACATAAAAGAACGCAATATAATTATGCTGTATTGTCATAATGCTACAGATTGATTTACTATGTTTCGTAATACTATATTGTACATGTATATAATTTACATCACTGTACCTTTGTAAAGTGACCCTTTCAGCCTTGTGCTGCTGGTCGATCATTATATTCCAATAAATAAATAATAATAATAATAATAATAAATCTTGGACCTGGTGTCCCCCATTACCTGCACACATTTCTGATCAGACACCATTCATACTGTGCTGTGCAACACCCATTCACAACATATTTATATGGATTTTACAGATATTGGAAATAGGGCTAGGATCTGTTAGGGCGGACAGGATGATTGATAACATAAAAAATATATTAAAATGGACTAGCAGTGGACACGAATCGTGTCCCGAACTGGGGTCAAAGTCTAATCTGCTACAGTAACCCTAGTTTGCTCGAACCCGTGAAGTTATAGGCTACTTTTCATGCGTTTTTTCACCATACGTTATCATTAGCAGTCAATAACCAACGGCTGTAACGTGATGTTTTTTCGAATGCTAGTTTTTCTGTCATCATGGGGATGTGAAATATATTGTACCTCATTATGATAACAGTGAATGAAGCAAACGAGAGAACATTGTATGGAGATACGTGGTTCAAAGAGCATAATTATTCGAAGGACTGGACGCTAGACTATGACCAGCGACAAATGTAAACAATAGCACAGCAGTAACTCGCAAATGTAAACAATAGCACAGCAGTAACTCGCAATATAGCACTGTATTTGCATCAGCGAACTATTATGATAAAGTATTGTATGTGTGTAGATCTGGCATGGATGATTCGGTCGTTAGATTTTAGTTGCAGTAAATTTAAATTCTCGTACGTTTTCACGTGAATGAGCCTATATATTATATATCCTAGCTGTATCCATATTTTATCTAGAGTGAGCATCGGCTGCATGTATATATCATTGAAACCATGGCTATGATCTTGACTGTGTTGGGGTATGTCGCCCTTCTAATCTGCGTTATATTAGGACTGGCCATTGTTGTATTATCTGCAGCCATTCTCCGTACTGAATACGTGTTTAAGGATGTACCCACTCCAAAACATAAAAGGTACGTATATTATGTTTACATTGATTATACTGTTTATACCTGTTATTTTGCTGTCATGGCTGTCAATTAGCGTTATTGGCATATGATACGTGTAACGGTGTAAACAGATTTCTCTTTCGTTCGATGTTACGATAAATATATACATACTATGCATGGGTGTCGATCTGTAATTGATACCTATTGTTCAGGGGGATGATCTATTCATTCATCCCCCCTGAACAATAGGTAGTACGTAAGGATCGACACCCATATGATACATACGATGTATCGTGTGTACATGTACGATATAATATTGTCAGTTTGGGACCTTATGATAGTTTTATACAGTAATCATAATAATAACGATTACATAGAGATTGGGTTCAACCTGCATATTATCTCGTTCTTTTCAAAAAGCCATGCATGCAATCCTATTTTCAATGACAATTTTGGTTTGTAGTTTAGAGATATGGATGCAGGCTTATAAAGGCATACATATGGGATTATATATAAATATATAAGTGTGCGTGTGTGAAATTTCGGCTACATTCGTCAAAATCCACTTGATACCCATCTGCGTTCCGAAATTACATTCAGTTGTAATTCTCCCAAGCTGTATTTTCCAACATACATGAGACGATGTAAAGTTCAAAATCCGCTTTTTAACTATCAATTTGCCAGGAACAACATAGACAGAAAGAAACGATAGGCAGTTGCTGCAAGTCCCCTGTTCGTGGCTTTACCATTTTGTTTGTCTTTCTCATCCTATTTATAATTATAGTTTCTTTCTAGGAGATATAAAGAAATTTGGTGCATGGAGAGAAAAGATTGGAATGCCCTTGGCAAACATCCTGTATTTGATGTAAGTGCAATGAAACTGTTTCATTATAGTGCGTGTATCTAAGACTGTATAGGCTACATTTATTTTTAGGAGGGAAAAAAGGTCTCACGTAATACACAACATTATTATGATTATTATCGCGGAAATCTACGAAACCTGTACAAGAAGACCCCCCCCCCCCCGTAAAAGAACACGGAGATTTGTCAGGACTATGATGATAATATTCCTTTTCACCCTCTTCTTCTATCTCTCTTTCCTCACATTCTCTCTTTCTTTGTTCTTTTCTCATCCTATCCCATTCTACTCTTCTCCTATGCCTAACGATTAAAATGACACTTGTAATGACACATATCTGTCTGTTTTTTTTTCTTCATTTAATATGTTAACTATTACTTAATTTTGTTATTCATAATTTACTCATATGAAACTTTTTAAATCATATATCTTTATGGTTGTTATTTTATTGGATGCAATAGCTTGTTATTTAATTTTGTATTATGTGCAAGTATGTCATCTTTAAGTAGTTTTTCCTATGTATTTATTTATGATCTCTTTTATGCTTTTTACACGTACTTGCTGAAAAGCAGTCTTTTTATGCTGATGTGAGTTTTATCGTGAATAAATAAATTCAATTAAATTCAATTCAATTCAATATCTATAAAGAATTACTATTATAAACACTCTACACTTTATTACCATCGCAATGTTCCGTTTATTAATTGTCTCCATGACTACCGTAATGTTAAATCGAACAGAAAATCTATTGTGTACAGAATTAAATTAAATTAAATTCATATCGGATTTTTTTTTTTAGTTGCTGGATTACGTGAATTTGTAAATGGCGTCGGAAAAAATTCCTTCATGAAATACAAATTATCTAATATAAAAGCTGCAGGCCTCAAACCAGCTTTCGATAATTGCTCTTTCGTTTGTGGGATTTCTTTTTTCTTTTGGAATTATTTCATCCCCTCCTTTTTTAAGGAACTATGCTATGAAAATGAAATATACACCACTTGATTAAACTGAATAGAAGAATGAAGAAATCAAATACTTAATAACAATAATTTCTCAGGACAAAGGATCTTGGACCGGTGTATTATGTGAGGGTCTTCTGGAAAGCACATTTCTTCGCATCAGCACCTGAAATTGTTAAGGTGAATTTCCATTTGACGTCTTATGCTATTTTTACTAACATAATACGTACGTTGTGTGGCTATTTAGTGGTGAAGCCGGAAGTTGATGCGCCCCAATCGAATGACGAAAAAAGAAGAAAAAGGAGGGAAGAGAGAGAAACACGGAAAAGGAAAGGGTTAAAACGACGTCAAGAGAAAATATTAAATGACCCCTCTAACAATGCTCCCCTCCCCACCACATATGGCCTTGTACTTCCGTTTCAGTGTCTCCTCAATGGCTAATTTAACGCCACGCCACATACTATGATGATGTCACGACATCAGTTACGATAAGAGTACAGGGAAATCATTATCTGGGCAATTCATCTTTATGCTCGAAGTTTGCCTATTACAACTGAAATGATACATGGACGATTGATCATGATCAGTCGTTCTTTTAACACATTAGGGACTTTTAGATGTGCACAACGACAACGTGGATTGCTACGATCGACGTCCTTTTAATGCACTGCCTTGAATGGACGTCACACGAATCAGTCCACGCAAATCTATAATTCCCTATTGCCTTTTGAAACCAAGCAGTCCCTGTATGCAACCTGTTAAAATATCAGAACTTAGTAGTCAGTGGGTTAATATAACGTTTGGAAGTTAGGAAACTGATAAGAAGACTCATCTCGTCATAATTTTGACAATTTTCTGTTAGTGACAAATTACAGAACAAATAGACACTCATACGTATTAAATCATCGAAATCTAACCTCGTACACAAAGAGCAAAATTCTTTTTTTTCCTAGGCTGTCACGCTTTCATCTTTATTTATACTACGAATTACAATGATACGTACATTACTTTAAAAAAATACTATCATTTGCAGGAGCTGCTTCTAAACAGTCGCCATATAAAACCACAAGAAATATACCATGGCTTTCAAAAGCTGTACGGTGAACGATTTATGGGCCACGGGCTCGTCTCTGAGGTCGATCATGAGAAGTGGTTTCACAGGAGAGCCATCATGAATCCTGCATTCAGACGAAAGTAAGAACTATAAAGGATTGTTCAGATATGGCGCGGGAAACCGCCGCAAAAATAGCCGCGGCTATATTTTTATCCGTTTAAATGAATGGCATCTACACTTAACGTCATCAAGAAAAAACACCGCTGTTTTGCGTCCTGTCTGAAAGGATGATTTCATTGCCATTATTCTAAGTTGCACAAACTACTCATTTTCGTCCCCTCAAATGATAGGTTTTTAGTGATTTTGTTATCATTTAACTACGTTTTTCATTCGTTTGATTTGACACGATGGGGTTCTGCTCAAAAGGGGCTTGAACCTCAATGCTTGGAGACTCTTTGCTCCCCCAATAAATCTTGCTTATAAATTATAAGTTAAAGCAAGGCACCAAAAAGCTCCCCAAAGCCCCCCTAAAAAAATTGTTAGAACCGCACCTGCATGGTTATGCTGTCATAAATGACGAAATCTTGTCAGCAATACATAATGATGCCATGATTATTATATCATTTTGCAGACTCATACTGTTACGATACATATCGACTTTACATATTAATAATTAACTCGAGAACATAATCAATTTGGACCTGATTAAAATATTCCTAGGTATCTAATCAGCCTCATGGAGGAATACAACTCTGGATCAGAAGCTCTTTGTCAGAAGCTCAAGGAGAAAGCCGATGGTAAAATAGAAGTCCCCATGTTAGACGAACTCAACAAAGTAACACTGGACGTCATTGCAAAGGTATATAAAAAAAAATATAGAGTGAGTCCATGCTTGGGGATGGGGAAGAAGGACTTTCTTCAGTTGGGAAAGTGAAATGGATCATATGGATAGAAATATTACTGACGCACTATATATACAAAGAAATATTTTTTTCCGTACAGCAAATAATTTAAAGTGAAAAACAAGATTGTGGAATACAATTAAGAGCTTGAAATTAACCAATTCTTGCCAACAATCAAGTTTTCGTGTTGTAGCTTATCCTCCCCCTGGATAAGCATTTGATGTTCAAACAAAACAAAAAACAAACACCAACAACATGGCTTCAAGGAGAAGGGCATTTTGTTTCCTTTACAGATCGCTTTCAGCATGGATACTAATGCTATAGGAGATCCAGACTGTCCATTTCCCGCTGCCATCACCGCGGCACTCCAAGGATTACAGAGCTTACACGAGAGGCCATGGTCTACTGTGAGTACACTTAACTTTCTACTTCTTTCAGGATCATAGGAGCTATTCATCAGTATATGCTATTGTGTTTTTATTACATTTTGGTATTTCTCCACTTCAAAGGATTATCAACGAACCATCTCACGGGGTGCCCCAGCAACCCCATTTAAAATATTTACAAAGTTCACAGAGAATCCTAATTGATCACAAGGTATTATGCAAATCGTCCTAATAATGACATTGAGATAACTTAACACAATGACCTTTTCTGTAAGGACAAAAAGAGCTACAGAAGTCTAACCACCTATGTTTTAAATATCGACCCCTTACGTCTCACAGGTACGTGTAGGTCCCCATGAATCTGTCCTACCAGAAGACGAGGTATCGTCATCTATTGATCATCCGTTCATGATGTGACTAGCAAAAGATTGATGGTATCGTCCACATCTGAAATATTTTATCTATAACATGTTCTGTGGGTTCTACCAACCTTAGAATATATAGGAGGCAAGTTTTCATCCTCTTCTGTGGACTTTCATAAGCCACGTGATTCTTCACACACTTATCTATGATCTTTAAATAATAGATGGATCCACGGTGTATTTCCATGCGAAGGTCCACACGCAAGGCCATTCACCTCATCCGAGAAACCGGACGAGATCAGATCAAGGAACGGATCCGGGCTCGTAAGAGAGCAGATCATGTTCCAAGTGATCTTCTCAACCTCATCCTCGATATAGCCAACGATCTAGAGGGCGATAAGGACTTCGGAATGGAAAATATGTTGGATGAATTCGTTACCCTTTTCATAGCAGGTACGTAAGTCCACTGCCTACGGATATCAGTTCCTGGTTTTATCTTTAGTGGTTCCTGGTTTTAAAGGTGAAATTCAAAGAAAATCACAAATATGTCAACTAATGTTTCACTAGAAACTGGTAAGCTAACAGATGGTCATCGTACGAGTTTTAGGTCAACTACATATCGGGTGATTTATAAAAATACAAATACAACCACCTCCATAGCAGCTGGGATATACAAGAGATTCGCCGGAAAATAACGATGTTTTAATGACGTCACTACCGTGTGAGTCAAAAAAAAGTGTACACCTAGAAAATTACTAATCATTTAAAGAATTATCTATGAACAGTAAATTATCTTATGAAAGAGTGTTTTATCCCAAATCATTTGGTACCATTTTTGTGTGGTATGTGTTCACGCTTGGATGAACAGGAGGCATTGATTGCGAGAGTGCAAAAATCGACTTGCGTCAAAGTGATGCCTACAGCATGTATTAGTATTATGTTGGGATTAGTGGATTGAGAGAATGACTTGAATGTATCAAATGAAATGCATTGCATATGCTTCTTGCAGCAGCAAAGTTACACACGCACACACACACGCGCACAAATGTTCGTTCATATTTGATATTCGATATTTGATATGTGTGGCATGACAAATTTTGTTAGGGATGTTATTTGGATCTGCAAAAACCGATTTAATACCCATATCCCAATTGTTTTATTTAAACATCACATTAGCAACTTTGGCGCAAGTCATTATTTGTACTCTCGCAAACAATGCCTCCTGTTCATCCAAGCGTGAACACAAACCACACGAAAATGATACCAAATGATTTGGGATGAAACACTCTTTCATAAGATGTATAATAATAAACTGTTTTTAGATGATTTTTTTAAATAATTAGCAATTTTCTAGGTGTAAACTTTTTTTTGACTCACACTGTGAATATACCCTTGTTATAGATAATTCGCATCAAACAAATCTTAATATGACCACGTCTTGGGACGGACCTCTAATGTCATGATCCAATTGATGTGACTTGTTTTCTAATTGGGATCAGTCAGAGTGTGTTTGTAGGCGACGGTGGAGACTAGAGAAGACTTCTTCACATTCGAAGCATCGAAGCCATGTAAAGCCATTTATATTCTTGTATCTGACGTAACAATGCGGAAAGATTTGTTTAGAATTACTGACTTAGATTACTTTTGGTAATCATCTATATTCCCTAGTAAGTCTTTCATAGATTTGTCATGGATGTCATCAAAGTTCCTCATAATCAACTCTCACAATACGTCCTTTACTATCTATCCTTTGCTTGCTGCCATGGGAGCAAGAATATTTAGACCTACTACGTTACTTCGTTATTACTTTGGTAGCATGCAAGTAGGCCTACTAATCTTTACTTTTGACGCTGGATCATACAAAGGCGTTAGAATTCATGATCCAAATGACTTTATGTTTTATATACCTCTGCCATTAGGGATCAAGCTGACGTGAATTTCATTATTTACTTATATACAAACCTACAATTTGATTATTCTGCTGCCCATAAAATGTGTTGGTGTAATTCAAATAGGTATAATTGTTTTATAATTTAGGTATTGCTTCATCCTTTTTGTATTTCAGGTCAAGAAACAACGAGCAATCTTTTGGCCTTCACAATTCTACAACTTGGTCGTCACCCCGATGTCGCTAAAAAGTAATTATTTATGAGCGGCTTCAGTCAGTCGCTACAAAGTAAATATATCAAAGCAACTCCATAAAGTGCGCCATTGCAGTCATGAGTAAGCAACAATCAATGTTTAAAAAAATTTCCATAAAAGAATTGTATTTGAAACACTACATTCGTTATGTCACGCGTAAACATGAGCAGATGTCTGAAATCATAAAGGTTTATTGTTAATGGAATGGTGTCCCGAAAGACTTTAAATACTGGATTTAACGTCTTCGGTATTTTTACAAGATTATAATTATGTTGATATTTGGCTGCACATAACTGTAATTACAATGAAATAAAACATCATATTCCGTTTTTCAGGTTTGTATGATCTTTAACCTTATATCTTTTATAATGATCTTTTTTTAGGCTTCAAGCTGAAGTTGATGAAGTACTGGGACAAAAACACACAATTCAGTATGAAGATCTGGCCAAGCTGGAATACATGATGAGGGTAAGAATTAAATATTTAAGCCAAAATTGTGATATTTGATATTGCGTATCCGGACACCTAAGGTATATCAAAATAATTTTTAGACAAAGGAAAGAAACTTGTTGTCGTTAACACGTTTGTTGCTCTTTAAGTATCTTTAAGTATCTTTAAGTATCTTTAAGTATTTTTTCTGATTTTGTAGTAATATCATCACGTTTGTAGTATAATCATCACTTTAGTTCGTGCTTTGGTTTAATAAAGGTATATCAAAATAATTTTTAGACAAAGGAAAGAAACTTGTTGTCGTTAACACGTTTGTTGCTCTTTAAGTGTCATTAAGTATTTAAATGTATTTTTTCTGAATTTGTCAGGTTTTGAAGGAAACGTTGAGATTGTATTCACCGGTCGGAGGTACAACCCGTCTTACTGCTCACCCTGTCAAATATAACGGCATCACAATACCAGCCAAGGCCACTGTGACCGTACGTATCTCCAACCGATTTCTATGATTTCTTTTCTCTTTCTCTTTAGGGCTCAGGTTTATTTCATTCAGGGGAAAAGTACATTTATTGTTATTTCTTTTTGAAAGAACAACAATTGGAAAGGTATTCGCAAGGTAAATCATTCATTTGCCAATTTGTGTTTAAATGATCACATCTTCACAACTTTCTGACTTCTTCGTCATTTATCAGACTTTCATTAAACCGTTTCTCTCACGTTGATGCAATTTATTTAAACATGATAGACTGCACCTTTTCTTATATCTATGATTATCACAAATTTTTAATTTTATTATATTGTTATGAATATATTAAGAAGAAAAAAATGTAGTAACAGTTCGAACCGAAGTTATGTGTGAAAAACTTATTCCGCATTAACAGTATATCCACTTATTTTTTTTTGACATTGTCACTTTGACAATCGTGTGCCATTGTCCTTTAAGACCTACCCAAGTCACACTAACGAAACCGACACCAGACTAAAAGCAAACCGAAAAGAAAAAAAAAGCATTACATTAGCCCCAATGGACGAGACACGGGCGGTGTGGCTGGGGTATTCAAACACTCTCGCATAGACAGTTCTCACAGAAACTTTAATTCAGTGAGCGGGACCATAAAAGTGTTAGCCTAGAGGTACTAATATACTTTGTATAATTTTGTCTACCTCCAGGTAATGTCTTACGTCATGTCTAGAATGGAGGAATACTTTGATGACCCTCTGCTCTTCAATCCTGATCGTTTCAAGCCTTCCGAGGACGGATCATTGTAAGTCATAATTTGTTGTATACTACGGAAGCCTATGCTGTCTAAGAATTCTCTCCTTCCTATATGTACTTCAAAGCCTAACAATAATTTGAGTAAAAGTATTTTTTTCATGCATACATGCTCACGTTAATTATAAACTATTGTTTATCATTACTACACACTGGTAAATATTCCAGAAAATGTATTAGCACTGAGAAATAAGCCTGTTTAAAACGTAAATTATACAACTTTGATCGGCTGTTTATATCTTCCTGTTTATCGTAGAATAATTAAAGATGTCGTTGATACCTGTATTAAACGCCAATTATTGTCATCTTCCCAATTACTACCAGGCCTAGACATCTCTATGCTTACTTTCCGTTCTCCATGGGGCAACGATCTTGTATTGGCCAACAGTTTGCACTGGTACGTATATCCATTATCTTTGCTCTTAGTTGGTAATTTGGGGGCACGAAACTTTTTAGCAAAGAGGTTATAACACATTGTCGAAAGATCGCGGAAAAGAAAGGGAGCGGAAAATGTGGAATACGAATGGATCCACGTCATAAAATAATGTCAGATATCAAAAGTTTAAGTTTTCTTACAAAAGAAAGAAATAATCCGAAATGGCATTGCTTTTAATTTGCTTAAGATGATTATGCTATATGCCATCGTTTTCCCTAATGATTGAGTCACAACTGTCGGGGTCAAGATCATCATGACCATGCAAACCTACAATGTACTATTGTAGCTACGTAAAGTTCATATACCCAACATTATTTGAATTAGCTGTGTACACGACTTTCTCTATCCATATGTTGACATTCAAAAGAAGAAAACAAAATCCGGGATTCAGTCTAAATATCTTATGCCGATTTCCATCTACTTCCCAGATCGAGGCTCGTGTCATTTTAGCTAAGCTTCTCCAACGATTCGAATTTCGACTAGAGCAATCGCAGAGCATGGGTATCCTGGACGAACTAACATCCAAGCCAATGGGGAGATGCAAGAACTACATCACACTAAGAGCCTAGGCTCACAAAGAGCCTAAATCCCCGTCAAGTAAGGACGCGGTTAACCGAGCCGGTTTGTTTTTAATGACACAACTGTCATACAGATCCTACCCCAGGCTTCGGATACAGATGTCAGTGAATCGCATGCATGTACAATTATTGTTTTATAGTTACAAAACAAAGAGCTACAACAAAAAGCTGTATGTTGATTTGATACTTTGGATGAACTTTCGTTGTTAAGAATTTATGATAATGGTTATATACCAGACAAAAAAAAGTTTACACCTAGAAAATTGCTAATTATTAAAAAAAAATCATCTATGAACAGTAAATTATTATAAATCTTATGAAAGAGTGTTTTATGCCAAATCATTTGGTATCGTTTTTGTGTGGTATGTATTCACGCTTGGACGAACAGGTGGCATTGTTTGAGAGAGTGCAAAAATCGACTTGCGCCAAAATGATGCCCACAGCATGTATTGTGTTGGGATTACCGGAGTGAGAGAATGAATTGAATGTATCAAATGAAATGCATTGAATTTGCTTTTTGCAGAAGCAAAGTCACACACGCACACACACACGCCCACAAATGGTCTTTGATATTTGATATTCGATATTTGATATGTGTGGCATGATTAATTTTGTTAGGGATGTTATTTGCATCTGCAAAAAACCGATTTGATACCCAAATCCCAATTGTTTTATTTAGACATCAGATAAGCAACTTTGGCGCAAGTCGATTTTTGCACTCTCGCAAACGATGCGTTTATTCAAGCGTGAGCACATACCACACAAAAATGATACCAAATGATTTGGCGTAAAACACTCTTTCATAAGATGTATAATAATTTACTGTTCATAGATGATTTTAAAAATAATTAGCAATTTTTCTAAGTGTAAACTTTTTTTTTTGACTCACACTGTATATGCTCCTTTCGGGTCAGTATTATTCTGGAGACGGTATAGCCAGATGAATGTAGCATTCTTACAGTAGGAGCAACGTGCCGATATAATATTAAAATACCAAAGTACGTTATTTATCTCCAGCACGTATATATATCATTAATCATTAAGTTCTTTTTATATGAACAATAGTCGTAATTCTGTTCTGAGATTATTGATAACCATGTTCATACTTTTCAGCAGTCCGTAAAACTGAGAACAGACAGTTCATGGTAAAGATCCTTTAGGTTTAGAAAGTTTTTTTAAAAAATTTGTGATTAAAGACTGGATGAGTGTAAATTTGAAATATACATAATTTTATTCATCTTACATTCTTCAAGATTACCGTTATGAAATAATTAACATTTGATATTGAGGATTGTCAACTAAATTGTCTTATTCAAAAGGCCTTTAAAAGGGAGTCTGTTAATACACGTGTTCAAGAAGTTGAATGGAAGTTTAAGTGGCAAGTCTGAAATGCAACATTGCTTTTAATAGAATTAGTGATGTCCGTTTGTATCTCATCATCATTCTTTTTTGGCAAAATTGCCTGACAGCATGAGGTACGAGGAAAGCGTTCCTTTATTATTTCTGTATTGCAACCAAAACTTGAGGTTGGATTTCAAATACAAATAAAAAATACCAACAGATAGGTAACAGTGGTAGATATAATTCATACAAAGTCAAAGAAACTATCGAGTCTGAAACAAAAATGTTTGAAAGACAATGTGCTACCATCAATATTGCACATTATAAAATAAATATTTCAAATGATTGTAAATAACATAAGAATTATCTAGAGTATGTGTGTCGATAAGTTGAGAAGTTTATAATAAAATTGACAATAATTATATAATTTAAAAAAAGAAAACACAGGTCACAAACATTACATAGATTCAGAATCGGGTTGTGAGTGATGGTACCGTGTATCGTCTGTTGAGAGACAGAAGGGCGTTAAGTCATATTCATTAAAAAGACCCAACACCCTCCCAGCTCTCACCAGACGATATGTCATGTAAAACTTATTGAAATAAAATTAATAAATTAACAAACAGAGCCTAGAGTATGGAGCATGATTTCGGATCTGTTACAGGATTAATAGTTCTTAAGGCAAGTGAAAACTTGTGTCGATCTTAATCTTTATTAACTCAAGTAAAAGCTTTTCACTAACCTAAATTCATATATGTAAATAAAAAATAAATATAGTATTTTGTATCCTTTATGCTTTTCAGTGAATATGAAATATTGAGTGATACAGAGTTCACTTTCGGGTCTTATGTGCATGGTTAGTAAATTATGTTTCGTTTGTTATAATTATTATGCACATATTGAAATATATGGTTTATTGTACAGTTATTTTTATCCAAATTTTATATGAAATGTTTAAGATATGCTTCGCCTATTTGTCTGGACATTGGTCCTACTATTCTTTATTAGGGATGTGCATCGGTCCAAAGGAAAGGTACATGTAATAAAAAAAATGGGATATACTGCAAATGACGACCAAAAAGAGGGATGTATAAACTGTAACCACCTCAATCTTACACCTTGGCCTTCATATATCGACTGTATATATTGTGAAACCATAGGGCATCTTATTTTATATTCATTTTGTCATACGATTTATGTAACTCATTAATTTACACTAACGATCAGTAATACAATATATTCGAATAAAAGCTATACCAACCAATTATCTTTGACTTTGCATGTTTTAATGAAAGTGGTGAGTATATCAAATTCAATAAATTCAATTCAGTATGCTTTATCAGTACCGAACCCCTGTACCGAACCCTGGCTTTGCCAATCATCTCAACCCTTAACTATCATCGCCCTTGACTGCACCGACACCATTAATAAACAATCATACAAACAAACACATTTATGGGATTGGCATCCACGCCATCACTGTGATAGTAGCAACGTAAACAATCTCCACCACTATTATAAGAAATACAAATATCAACCAATTACTAAAGACAATTTCAAGGACGTTTTATTAATTTTAAGAAAGAAAATTCATGAAATTTAAAATGCATCATAAAAGCTTCAAGAACTTCTTTTTTCTGTTATTTTGTTATCATATAGTGTACATGTGTATTTTGTATTTCTATTATCATTAAATAAAAACGTTTATACGCCAGACTATTTTACATATAATTATATTCGAGAAAAGACATCCTCCCACTCTTTTCCCGCTCATCTCGAATGGAATCGAATACACCGCATTTAACTACTACTGAGAATAATAACAATATAAATGTTAATATCGATTATTACATACAGCAGAAATGAAATATATACACATCAAACTTAACAATTAAAAATACACATTTGTGTAAATATGCTGGTGCGATTTATTCATTACGATAATGAAGTATACATTTACTTAAACAGAGATATTTCAAGAAGTGACATACTTAGAAGTATAGCGATAGCTAGAGAAAAGGAGGGTGAGAGGCGTGAGACATTAACAAAAAGTAAGATGGTAAAAAGAAGCGAAGTGGAGAAGAGTGGATAATTGAGCGAAATTGAAGGGATAGAATGGTATTAAAATCAATAAAACGATAATGCATGTATAATAAAATACGTATATAAAGCACAAATTAAGTGTATAACTGTATATACATGTATATGCATATATGATAAATATTATAATGAATATACGCCTACATGTAAGTATTAGGATGAATAACTTGATAAACAATACGAAGTCTCTTGCCAGTTTTTCTAGAAATGAAAGTCAGTGTCTATATTAATTGGAGTTTTGCTTTAAAATCCAATTGGTTTGTATGAATAAGATTGTCAGTCATAATGCCATGTTATACATTCGCATGTGGTTGAGCATTATCACTCTGGTAAGTGCAGTGGAATTTTTAGCATAGGGTGAAATTAGCTTGCATCCCTCCTGCTAGAATTCTTAATCATTCCTTCATTCATGCAATCAATACCAAAATGAATGTTCAAGATAATTTGAATTTCGGCAATAAAGCCAGAACATACCAAAATCTTGTAAAATTATGCTCCGTCCCATCTACTGCATTTTGTATATTTTGTTATTTAATCATTTAGGATAATCACTGACTCTTACATCAGTATTTTGGGTTTGCACCAATGTTGTATTATTTCTGATGTAAGCAAATATGTATATCCATCAGACGGATACATAACCTACAAATAATATATATATATATTAATATGTAGGCCTATATGTTACAACTTTTTAAATTAAGCTTTATAAAAACTAATTTTGGAGTCACATCAATTTCGTGGAGAAAAAAAAAAAAAACGCTAGAGTATGTATTTTCAAGTGTCTGTTGATAATAAAGAGTCTGTATTCCCCGCTCGTTTCGGTCGTTCGCAACATTTAGAAATATGATGATTTTAGGCATCGAAGTGCCTTCACAGATTCGTATTTAGGCAACGGGGTGCCCAAATATCCTTCTACTTGACAGCGAGGTGACCGTACTATCTCATATCTTTTAGATCAGAATATCGAAATTTTATTTTTTACCACTTTCGTTGAAGATAATTCTGGGCAACGACATCCCAATCATATCCTCATATCCCTGTATCGAGGTGACCGAATAGGCCTTTGTGAATTTTGTATTCATTTACATTTGGCACCGAGGTGCCCGCATACATTATTTTATATCTTATCTATAGTGTGATGATTACAAAATATTATTTTTTTACCGCATTGAAAATTTTCCTTCTTCGCTCGCTCACAAAATGTTGAAACAATTTTAAAACAGAGTAAAGCAAAATAAATCTGTGATTTAGGGATTAAAGGGTGACGTGAAACTAAAAATAACGGTGAAACCCTTACAGCTGTGATAAACTATTTTTAGGATAAATAGGAAAGGACATGAAAAGATATTTTTATGATTCTTGATTCATTACAATGTTACGTACATTGTGTACTTTGTCCGATGTAATTACCATAAAAATAGTATACGAATATACACTGTCTTGAGAGGTTCTGGTTAAAACTTTGCGCAAGAGGTGACTCCGATAGTACTATTTGAGTCACCGAGGCCCATAGTTTTAACCAGTACCTGGACAAGAAGGCATAGTTTATTTATTTTATATCCCGCATCAAACAATTATTTTAAAAAAATGAAAAAATAACAATTTTTTGAAGAAAAAGAATTATTGAAATTTAATCAAAATAAAATGTTAAAAATAACAATTTGTATTTAAAAATTTAAAAAAAAGAAAGATATTTAATACAGATTTGAAGGAGAAGAAAAAAATGTAAACTCCCAAATAGTACTTTTTCAGAGCAACCTTAAATTTGAATTGAAATTGAATTGAATAGTTCAAATATTTCTAGTCACTTGACAAGCTCTCAATCAATCAGAGCCAATTC